TACGCAGCTCCCGACTCACCCTTCCTGGTGTTGCAGGGATGAAACAAGCCACCCCCATCCCATGCTCAGGGAGGGTGGCTTGTTTTGACTTTTAAAATGTGGTTCGACATTTAACACCCGATCATATAAAACCAAGCCATATCAAGCTAAGCTCTAACTGCTCAATCACAGCACCAATAAACCTCACTTTGATTCACTTCACTATTGAACAACCTCGATCCTTTGTAAGATTACCAACTAACTCTTTTTAATACTGCAACAATTGATACTGACACCCGCCAAGATACTTTCTTTTGGAATCAAGTGCAATGAGTTGTGTTCTTTGTGGGAATACACCAACAGTTTTGGGAGACTTTTGTCGAGGTTGTGTCAACCAATCAGCATCAAACCCCTCAACTTCAATTCCAAGCTTGCGAACTCAGCCTCAAATGAATCCTACCCAAGCCTTCCAAACCAAACGTGATGAAGCGATTGCCCGTGCACGAAACTTGTATGGAACGCCAACCTTGCCTCAAGTACCTGCCTTCTTGAATCGAACCCCAATCTCGACTCTCCCGGTGTCCAAAGCAGCTGAACCAGTGCTTAATGGGATTCAAGGTACGCAGACATTTTGCCTCTCATCCCATTATAAATTGCTCCAACGATGAAATACCTAATGATATCATAACCCCCAGTGACCAAACCGGTGTCTAACACAACAGCAGTCCAGGCCTTTAACATTTCACAAGGTATGAAAGTTGATTCTACATTATCATTGGCAATCATTGATGTCACTGATCATTTGGCCAATTTCGTAGAACCTTACCACTTAGCCCGTCGACAGCGTGTCACCCCACAGCCATACCCAGCCACCCGTTCCAGCCGCTTAATCGCTAAGAAAGTCATAGCTGGTAAAGGTGCAATACCCCTAATGAATGCGCCAGAGAAGGTCCAAGTTCAGTGTGGTTTCGAAATGTGGTCTAAAGGCAGATTTGTTGCTGGACAAGCGGTGATAAGGTCTGCCAGTTGGGTCTTCCATGCAGACATCAATGCGCACCAAGTTTTGCTGCAGGAACTTTGTCAGAAGCACGAAGGAAATTTGGAACTCATCACCAAGTCCACTGAAGATAGAGAGTTCTTTTCTGAAGCTCACTTTCCCTTCTGCCGACTTGGAACTCGGAAAGGTTCTGTTAATGACCACGAGAGTTTTGTCCAGTTTTTAAAGGACAACAAGGTTATTGATCTCATATTTGACCGGGACAACTTCACCAATCATTCACTCGACGAGGAAGAGCGGCTTGGAATGGAAGAAGAAACCAGGCGTTATGCCGCTAGTTCTAGCACTGCACTGACCATCAACAGCCACGATATTACCCAAAACTTTGGATCCGCTGTCATTGAACCGGAATTCCAAGCTGTACCTCAAAACCCGGCATCTGCCATTGTGGAAACGACTTTGACTGGAAGTGACAATAGTGTGGCACTTCCATCAAATGCAAGTATGATGCTATCACCCTATGTTGTTGCAGCTCTGGAAGAAGAAGGGCTCTTGTTTATCCGAAAGAGCCCTCCATGTAAGTCCAACTGATCTCGATATCAATTCTCACCCATGTTTGCTAAAGTTTCTTTATTTTCAACCAGGGGTCTCTGAGACAATCCTTGATCCCACCGATCTCAGGTGGAACCACTTTGGGACAGCCCAACACTCACATTGGTATTGTGGATTGGACGACCTAGGCTGGGTTGATGGTGTCCGTTACCAGCTCGAAATCGATGGATTAAACACTTCACAGAAGATTTGCCTATACCGTGTCGATTACCAAAAGCCCCTCCGATGCAAGAAAACAAGCAAAGTCATCCGCGCAGAGATTCTCGACTCTGGTTTTGCTTACCCAATGGTAGCGGAGTACAGCTTGGTAGAAAAGGACCTCACCCGCGATACATATATGAAGGAGGCCAACTATACGATGAGAAGATACGCGGCGGCAAGACAATTCCTGGCTATATTCTGCCAAGAAATTAAAGAATCAAATGCATCTCCTGCGCAGAAGAAGATGGCCAAGGTCTTACGAGTGAGTCATCGAATATCCATGTACGTTTTGACCACCACTAACCTTTCAAAATAGTTTGTGGATGCATTTCCTGTGCACCATGATGTATCACACAGACCACGTACAGACGACATCTTCAAGGATGGCCAAGATGACGATTTCATACCACTTCCGACTGGTCTGGACGACCCAGCCAACATAGGAGAAGAACTGATGGATCGACCTGAAGATATACCAACTCGTGTATTCATAATGCAAGAATTTATAGAGGATTTCACTTGTCTCTTGGACCCAGAGGCCGAGACATAATTCAGCTCCAATTATTCCAGTGTTTCTGAGAAGTTACTTCACGCCTTCCAACACTGGGTTTATGTGAAGACGAATGGACAGTTGACACTCACTCACTTCAAGGGCAATCCACCCCTCTTGTCCCACCCAAAGATAATCGACTTGAACCCAGAGTGAGTTTGTGTCATCTTTTTTTTTTAAATTGATTGAATCACTGATGCATCTTTGTTTCATGTGTTTTCACCAGGGCTACTTGGTCCAAGGGTCAAGATAGCATTTCTATGATGTCCCAGTTTATTGCAAAACACGAGTGCACAACTGCTTGTTTGGCCCTTGACTTGTCAATACTCCAAGAGATTCCCTGGGCTCCTGTCAAGAAAGCAGGAACCGCGCTGGGAATTTCTAGTGCCGCTAATAAAAAGTCAGTGATGGATGATGAAGATATTGCACTGGTATCTGTTGTCCGGCAGGGTCACAAGGCCCTGAATATGAGCAAGTAGATGCTTTTACTGCATTTCTTTGTCTAGTTCTTCCATTGTTTGATCTCCCATGTGTCATTCATCCTTAAATAGCATTACAATATCATGGTCATACACATTTGTTTGTCTGATTCTTTTACCAACCACTCGTTCAAGGAATATAGAATCAAATTCAAGTACAGCTGTAGACATGTTTAAATTTCCAATATGAATGATTGATTTTAAATCCAGGAATGTTTAATCGCATTTGGGAATCACACAAGCATGATTTATATACAACATAATATAAAGAGAAACATTAATTTTTATTCAAATAATAAGAATGATCGCCTACATGCATTTTTTTACCTTTGTTGGCTTTAGTGTTAAAAATACTACCATCTTTGATTTTTGCACAAGTACTAGAGGTTCTATTATTGATTTGTAAAGACATAGCTAAGCGAGTAAATAAATCATTCTCAATAGGGGGAAGGGTGCAGTGTTCTACAGTTTTGGCAGCCCAGAGCAACTTCACAACACCCTTTTGTTTAGAGAAATCAATACCGAATCTATAATCAGGAACAACAAATGGTCCACCAGTAACATTGTATCCATTTTCAGGATCAGCAAGAGTCCCATCGACTTTGTTATGAGGAAGAAATAGAGCAAAAGCATAAGCAGAAGTGTCCTTATCATCCTCATGTGGCGGGTTAAAGAAACCATGAGATGTGAAAGTCAAGTTGGGAGAACAATCGCCCTCTGATAGTGGGTCATTAAAAGACAAGTTTGAAAACGAAGGAATATGGTTGGTCTTCATCAGTTCACGGTTCTTTTCAAATGGAATATCAGCCATTGATTTGAACATATTTCCCAAGATTCTTGATGCTCTTTCCGAAGACAGCATCAGATCATCGTATTTTTTCTTGTTTTTATCGACAGCTGATTGAAAAATGTATCGACCGATGAGTTGAGCTGCAACCATCGCTTTACGCCAGCCGATCGCCCACATTTTACCCCCCCCCAAGATCTATTTGGAGTCGCCACAGGCCGAACGTATTCCTTGGGAAGCATGTAAGAATGGAGGATAGAAATTGGGAGGTCATCCTTTTCTGTTGAGGAGAGGTCTTTCATGTCGGTAAATTCCATCACTGCAATTATCTGGTCGGTTTCTTCGGCGTCCATCACCACGACTTTCCCGTGAGTGAATAGTTTGAACGTTTCGGAATGAACAATTTTATTCACAGCATCGATTTCTTCCAGGTAGGACATCGAGGCGGTTTATCGCTTTTAGGATCCTTCAACATTTCCTCCGCATGTATCTTTGGATACAAAACAAACGGGTGATAAGATCGGTAGCTCCAGAATATCTTGGCTTTCGGATCCTTGTGACGTTTAATAGAGTTATTGAACGTTTTAAGCCGCCCCTGTTGAAGCTTTGGGGTCTTCCATTCCGAATGCCTTTTCCTCTTATAATTCTTCCTACTGTTTGATCTCAAAAGTAGCCACACAATAGTGCAAAACAGCAACGCAGTTGAGGTAGGTAAAATCATAAGAGTACACCAGCAATCATCACAGGGAGTCCAAAGAATAAGAAACCATGAAGCGGAGTCAGTATAAAGATAGCTAGAACAAAAGTTGGGGACAAGCACGTTACCATGCAGTATTGTAAGTAGCCATGGTTGTTTTCTGAGTTGTCTCAAGCAGTTGGTCGATGTGGTTGATTGAAGTGATAACCCCAGGGATTTTCTTGAATGTAAATAGGTTTGAAGATCTAGAATCAGTCTGAAATGAAGGGTAACAACAGAAGCGCCCAATTATCAATCATGGCTAGAGCTTTAGTTACTTGACAGGGTAGGTCGCAACAATTGGCTTACTCTGAGTTGATGAACTGAGGTTCAATTACTGAGATTCGTTGAATTCTAGAGATCTAGGATTGGTTGAATCAGCCCTCCTGGACTGGAGTTAAAACAGTGAAAAACTGACCACGTAAAGTCACTTGCTACCGTAACAATCAGGGTCTGTGTAGGAAAGCGATTGCCGATGAGATGAAGAATCTGTCTTTAAAAGCGATCACATATATGGCAATCACATCAGAATGCCTTCACTAGAGGTCTGGAACTCTTGCAAGTCTAGTATAATTGAACTGTTTGCAACCAAGAGACATACATTTTGATTGAATAATCGAACGAGTCCCTTGGAACAACCGGCTGATTAAGAATCAATGAACCAAGCTGCAATCACTAGGTGTCCTGGAATTCTGTCGATCTGATAGTTTCATCAGCCACACAGGACTTGAGGTCTGAAGTGAGAAAAAAACTAGCAACTTACAATTAGGCTTGATACTGAAACGATCGGTCTCTGTCACTGGGAAGTGATTGCCAATGATTTGAACAATCTATCAATAGAAGCGATTGCTTGTAGGTCAGTCATATCAGACTGCCTTCACTAGTGGTCTGAAACTCTTGAAATTCTAGCACAATCAAATTGATTGCAACCAAGAGACATACATTTCGATTGATTAACTTGATCGATTTCCTTGGAACGAACAGCTGATTGAGAATCTATGACCAAAGCTGGGGTCACTGGGTGTCCTGGAATTCTGGCGATCTGGTAGTTGCATCAGCCACACAGGAATTGAGGTCTGAATTGAGTATGAGGAACTAACTACTTAGAATTAGACTGGATACTGAAAGGATCGGTGTCTGTCCCTAGGAAGTGATTGCCAAGGATTCAAAGAATCTGTCAATAGAAGCGATCACTTATATGTCAGTCATGTCAGAGTCCCAACAATGGAAGTCTGAACCTCTGGATAAGCTAGCACTGTACCTTGGATAATCGGACTAGCCACAGTAAGAATGAGGGGGATTGGCTGGATTGAAATGGTTCGATCTGTCTATCTTTCATGTAAATCCCTATGAAGTGGCTTGGAAGATGTAGCCCCTAGTCAATTTGAGGCAGAAACCCTCTAAAATATAGTTTCATCGGTCAAAATCCATGCCACATCATTAACCCATGTTTACAAAAGTATCAATAAAATACAATCAATACATGTTCCCTCCTTCAGCTTAGTCCTATTGAATAACCAAATAGGTGTGAACTGGTGTGAAAATAAATTACTAAAAAGAGGGAGGATCTGACCGGTGATGGGATAGTCAATTGTGCATACAAGACACAAGCATGCAAATTTCAAATCAGGTAAACAATTTCATTAACATGCAATTAAATTAAATGGTTGTGCATGATCATTATATACATAGCAGGGTAGGAATATTCATTCAGGAAGGTGAGAGCGGGCTCGGATTGTCTGAGATTCATCATTGGATGGATCTATGAGCCATGCTTCATCATAAGTATTGACCGCCGTAAGTATAAGTGAGAAAACCTCCCAGACATTGTGGACATTGACATTGGGAATGACGAGCCCAAGTCCAGACTGCAGCTGCTCAATTGTTTCGTAGAACCATGTTGGGGATGTTTGCATTAATTGAGGGCCTTCTGGATAAAATGCTTCCTCCAAAGTTTTAACTGCACTAGGCGGAACTGGAATTAAGCCTTGAATGCCGCCTTTTCGATCGGGGTATGCATAGCACCAATCTGCACTGCACTGTGTGGGTAGAGAACTCTTCTTATCCAATCGGCGCTTGTAGGAGTTGTAATTGGTCGTCCACTCATTGAGTGCTTCCTGAAGCAGAGGTACCCATAAGTAAAGAAAGACTAGCCTGAATCGTAAGAAGAGAATCTCATAAATGTGTGTTGTGTTCAATGGGAAAATCAAGATTGATAGAGTTGTCTTACTGCTCCAAAGGATCTTCAGGGTCATATAAATGTTCTTCGGCGGCAGAAAATAATTGGTTGATGAGCTCGCTGTTGAACTGTTTCATCAGCTGGGACCACAAGCATTCAATCTTTTGGTTGTGTGTGCTCTTAGTGAACAGATGTGATGTGCTTGAATCCAAGCAGTGTGGATTGTAATGTTCGGTGAGATTAATTTGGTGTCCAGCCATCTGAATTGTTTCAGTGCCTCGATCAGTTGTTGTTCGACGTGGTATTCCTCCTTCCCGTTTGACCAACTGAAGATAGTAATATCCAACATGACGTGGATCATTGTTTGTGACATGGACAAAGATCCCGAGGATCTTACGGCTCCATGCATCTATGAATCCATACAAGGTGATGCCAAACTTCTTCAATTTGTCATGACCATCAGCCGACCAGATGAAATTGGGCCCAGGTGTATTGAAGACTCTTCGCTTTAGAACTCTTTTGGCACGGTTTTCTACTCCATCTGGATCCAAGGTTTGATTGATCAATGCTACAGTCATGCTGGATATTTGTACATAGAAGAAATAATATTGAAGTATTGAAGAGTGAGCCATCTGCACTAATGAAAATCCAATGGGTGAATTTGAGAGAAATCATACGTACTGGTGCACATTTATGCCAAAATTTGTCTGGAGCATTTGCCTCATTTTACGGTACCCTGCATTCCGTCCTTCTGGTGTTTGATGGATTTCCATCATGCAAGTCACAACAGTATCAACATCCACCTTTTCCATGTCAATATCATCCAATCGCCTAGATAGGTCCATCGCTTTAAGCTTCCTCTCAAGAGTTCGTTTTGAATGTGTGTAGCCGTGCGTGGTTGACAGGGCATGGTGTATCTGAGAGTATGTCAAGCCTTTGTCGAAGTAAGTCTTGATGTGTTCATCCAGTTGGTCAATTTGTTGGGACGCATGATGAACCAATCCCCAGTCCTCTTTTCGCCTGGCTAGAGTTCGTGGTGAGACTGAGATGGAGTGTATCTCCTCGAGAAATTTGATTACTTCTTTGTCTGTGAGCCCAGATTCAAATAGGTCTGTTACCTCTGATTGAAATTCATCCCCAAACGAAGGTAAGGCCGGATTCATTTTGGCTTGAGATGAATAGGGGGTGACAATTAACAAGTCCTTGGGTGTCCTTTCCGTTGAGAATTTGATGGTGTGTTGTTGCTTCCTCCACATAGTGGGGGTGTTATATGATTGCGATACATCTTTGCAGGTTGGGCTCGGCCGTATTCATGGGACTGAATTCATTTCTATTATGTACATGTTCCAGGGGTGGTTTACATAGCCCGGCCCGGGACCTGAGGGTTCAGATCCTGTAATGGAATTGTTACAAGAAGAATGAAACAAACCGATAGCAAAGGGGTGTATGTTCATATGGCATTTTTGGCAGTTGGTTTCGATGAGTTTTCAGGGGTTCAAACAAAAAACAAAAAGAAAAATACAATTTTCCAGGTTTTCAAAAAAAAGCAATGTAAATGATTTTGTGGCAAGTTTGGCAGGTCAGTACCTCCATAGAATCATCACTTTTACTGTTGTCTATTACTTGTAAAGACAAGTGACCATTTCTCTTCCATAAATACTCGTGTCGTCTCCAACTCGACCATCTCATCCATTCGCTCGACTCTCATCTACATTGACTCGACTTGACCGCAACTCTTACTTGCTCGTCTCTAGTTGATTTCGACTCAATTGTCTCATTTCCCTTCCATTTGACACTCTGCCGATACTCTGAACTCCTTGAATCTCCTTCACGTCACAGTAGGTTATCACTCTGCTTTCCGCTCAGGTCGACGCTATGATATAGACATTAACATCTCTTCCTTTCTAGTCTTTCTTCTTTGTTCTTCTTCTTCTCCTCTTTGTTGCGTCCCTTGTGTTGTTGTTCCTGCCTTAAGGTATTTTTTCTTTTCTTAGCCTTATCATCTTTCTTTATGTATTTCCTTGTCTTTCTTACTGACCCTGAAATACATCCTTAAGTTTGACACTTAACATGTACCACAAAATTGAACCAAAAACAAAACCACAAGTTGGTGCATGGGTGATCCATTTTGGTGTTGAAATATAGCCATTAAAGAGACTGATGTCAGAAGAAACAAAAAGCAGAAGAACAGAAAAACACGAGGGCACATGCCGTCTTCAAGATATCAGTTGATGCTTGTCACACAGTGTCTGCGATTTTCTTTTCCTCGATAAAGAAGTCCTGTTTATAGAATGTCATCCAAGCGCTGATCCTTTGGCTAAAGTGTAGCGAGGTGTGTACCGAGGGGTCCAAGCAGTCTTTGCTAGGGAATATCTCTGCAAAAGAGGTACGGACCCATTCATTGAAGGGGACATCCTGCGGTTTTACCGATCTAGCCTTCACCAGGTATTCCTCCAAAGTATGAAAAATGTCGGCCCGAGAGGTATTACCTAGACGTTTGTTCCGGTAGTGCTTTAGGTAAACACTGATGAATTTGAGTTGATCTTGAACAAGCTCATGATCCTCCCTCTGTTGTATCACTGTCTCCTTGATCGGGTGATAGAAAGTGTTAAGGTAGTCCAACATGTAATAAACGAGTTGGTATTCAATTCTTCTTTGGAATGGTTGTGTTTCTACTTCGGGCTCTTGCAAGAATTTTATGAGCTCATTCACTAAGGAACTTATTGAGAAATCTGCTTGGTGGTTTGACTCTGTTGCGGGGCTCATTCGCCCTTGGTCGAGAGAGTCGACCTGGCGAAATGCTTCGCGAATCTTGTCAAATCGTTCACTCGCCTTTCTTCCCGGAGGGAAGTGATCTGGTGCATGTGAGATTATAGTATCCATAACAATGCGGACAACCTGTTCCTGATCTCCAACCGGGAGGGCTGCGGTACAGGAACCATCAGTCTTGTTAAGCAGGGTTTCACATCAACAAACAAAACTCACCCTTGATGGATCCGTGAAGTTGTTCCACCGCCGGGGCAGATGTTAAAAAATCTAACTCCGGGACTACCGAGCCAACGGCATCGAAATACTGGTGCCCCCACCTGCGGAAAAGTAGCTGCACATGGAGCTCGGCCATCTCTGCAATACTTTTTGCCTTGAAGATCTCAACGCTGTCGATCAATTCGGATGGAAGTAGTTCGTGTTGAAGAATGTAGTGCCTCATGAGAAGGACAGCTCCCAGGTATTTAAGCTGAAAATCTGTTTCTGTGCTCTTGGGCACTCCGTCAACAGATTTGAATCCCTCAATCCGATTTTGTAAAGAGTTTAAACTGGCAATCATTTCCGATTCTGTGAGATCGTGTCCCCAGAGTGACTCTTTCTCAGCCGACTGCATGATCAAGTCGCCAATGGGAATTTTGTTTTGTCTTAGAACGAACTCAAGATACGTAGGCATTCTTTTTGTCCCATCTTTGGTGAGTTCCCCGGGTTTGCTTGAGAGAAGGTGTGACGTATCGCTCGGGACTGGTGTCCTTGAAGCAGGCAAACTGCTCTTATAGAGCAGCGCATTGGAGACAACTGGATCGTCTCTTGTCTCATCCTTTGTCCTGAAAATACGTAGATGTTTTATAAATGGAAGATTGATTCGATGATTCTTGGTACTTCGGGAGGAATCAGTTTGAGTGGTGGTGAGCTGAGCATCCAATCTGGGCGGTAGGAAATCGAGGGAAGTCTCCAGACCACCCATCTTGCGCACTCTATCCTTAGTGGGTGTCCAAAGACCACGATGAAGCGTCTGTAGCCCCAATAGCATTTGAGAGAATCCGTCAAAGGATTTTGACTTGAGTCCCTCGATCTGACGCTCAATCTGATTACGATCAATTACCATCGATCGCAGCTCATCTGTGTGAAACCAACATCATGAGCAAATTTTTAGCTATGAGAGATAGTGGCCAGACCAGGCATTATCACATTGATGGAAAAAAGCGCACCCTTCCTTTCCTCCTCCCCCTGGGTAATCGTCCCATGCTCGTGATGATGACCCCAATTATTCGTGTGCTGGTCGAGCATCTTTGGCTTGGTTGATTCCATGGATAAACTGGCAATCCTAGATTCTGCGGGATTTAAATCTGATAGTGGCTCTGACAGAGCTTAAGATGAACGCTGAAAAGATTAACAGTTGCGATGCAGAGTTTTCCACAGGCCGCAAAGCAAAACATTGCCTAACACTTACTAAGAGATTTTGCCGCGTCTGCTGGTGCATCAATACTGGATAACACCAGTTTAGCCGCGCCTGTCACGTAGAAGAAGACGCAGAAAAACACTCTATCTGAGAGGACCACCATCTTTGTTGCGCTGGGAACAGCTTTAGTCTTGCAAGAAGGTAAACACTTCAAAGGGTATGTCTTTCGATGAGGTGATAGTTGCCAGAGGGCCTCGATTGGTCGACATTAAATAGAACTCAGCAGTCCAACCGGCACCAGGGAACCAAGGGTACCTGAGGTAAGATGAAAGATCGTATTCTTGGCACAAAAAGATAGGTTGTTCTTGAAACTAGCAAGTGATCCAGCTGATGCCCATGTAAGGGAAATAGGAAGGAAACGGTCAAACATTGGAAGCTGTCTGATCACATGTTGGGATAACACCTCCTGCAACTACTACATACATACATACATGTTTGTGTAGACCGAGTGTTCATTTTGCTCATATTTATTGCAATTGTTTCATTCAAAAGATGAAAGTTTAGGCTGAATCTTTCATCCCCTTGATGAAGATGATGGGGTCTTGGCTATACGACTCTCAAAGGTTGGGGTTCTGACTCCTATTTTTGGGAGACGTTGAAACAAGACATCCCCGGCCGGTCGCAGGACCCGACTTTGGATCCGGGTGATTCTGGGATCGATGTTCCTCCAAAACCTGGTGGAGGTCTTTTTTTGGGGAGTGGGTTGTTCATGGCTGGGAGGCATCCCTTTCGGCTGTTGTCAGATTGATCAATCCCAGAGCACTTCTGTTTATTTTCGGCTGTTGTCAGATTGATCAATCCCAGTGCACTTCTGTTTAATAACCCCCCCCCCCCCCCCCCCCACCTCCCACCCAATCCCAAAGTAAGGCCATTCAAGTAAATCATGGCTGTGATGGTCAACAAAAACCAAAATGAACGAGTGGTGGTATGATATTATTACAACTGAAGTGATGGCAGGTTGAGTTTTTTTTTATTTTTTCCAAGCGGACTGTTATAAGCTGACTGGTGGTTTGTTGTGGAAGATCGTAAGACGCGTTCTTAGATGTTTTTTTCGGATAAGTGAATAATTGTGTTTGCGTGTTTTTGAGAAGAGTGAGCTGGATCGAAAGATCAGTACGTAGGAGATGAAGATCTTTAATCGAAAGATAAGATCTGTTGACGATCGAACTCGATCAGAAAGCTCTGCGTTTTCCGAATCGTCCCTAAAATAAAATGTAAAATAAGAATGATGATCAATAATGATTGTTTTTTTTTGGGGGGGACGACTGCTGACCTGAGACATGAATGCCGTTGAAGATCACTGGAGTTTGAGGGTTGATTTGGTTGATGAATAGTAAGCTCGCTCTAACTTTTGTGACTTGATCTCTCTTGCACCTGAGGATTAAGTTGGACGTAGTGGGTGAATAATACTTGACTGTAAATTCAAAAGAAGAGTCTTAATTCTGTTCTCTGATGAATTATATGAAGAAGGAGAAGAAGAAGAACATTACCCGTGAGATCAGCACCAGCTTCACCGGCTCCAAGGTCACCGAAGTTGAGTTGGATGGATTGCCGGATCAAGTCGATCAGACTCTTTTCGTTAACTTGCTTGGTTCCTGATGGTCCTGACTGATGATTAGACCCGATCGTCGAGCTCTCGTGGGGACCATAGATTAACTGAATGAGTAAGTATCTGTTCTAATATGTTTCCTCGTCAGTTCTTTGTTCTCCATATATGATGAGACTACGTGACTTACTTTGAATCTGACCATCTTTTCTCCAAGGAGAGAGATGTGCAAGAGGGCGGGCGTGCTTGAGTATGTATGCGCCCCCCGCCCCCCGCCCCCCGGACCTATCCCCGAAGCTACACATTTCTTATTTTAGGGGTTTACCCTTCCCCAGTGCTGTGGGCCAGTCACCAACACTGTTCACCCTCAACCACCAATTCTCAACTTGTATTTCGATAACCATGAGCTCCCCAAGCCTGAGATCGAGGAACAATACAACAGCAACAGCAAGAGAACAACCGATGAACATCAAGGAAACTCAAAACAATCCAAGCTTAGTCAACCCAGCCAACGCAAAGTGGTTGATCCTTATCATCCTATTCCTGACAACGACCATCGGAACCTATCGATCATTCTCGATCTACTCGAGAGACAATCCAGACATACCGATCCACCAACTCACCCGAATACCACTCTCATCACTCCTATCAACCCATACGACCGACATCAGATCGACTACGACCACCCTGCCGTACTTTGCCAATAAATCCAACTTCCTCAATCAGAAGTTTGTCAAGCTCGGTTGGGCTTGGACTACCTTCGTCGTCTGGTTCCATGCGATCGCCATCGCTACTTGTTACTTCGGTCCTCCACATCCCAATCAACAACAACAGCAAACACAAAATTCTCGATCACATCCCTCCTCTCATGTGCCAAGGATCTTATCCTTGCATCTCCTCGCAACCCTGCTCTGGATCTTCCTCACTCAGTGGTGTTTCGGAAGTAGTCTTATCGAAAGAGTTCTCATCCTCTCTGGCGCGAAATGCATACCAAGTCTCAAACCATTTCACTCTTCTGAAACAACACCAACAACACCTACCACGCTCGAAAACTTATATTGTCAACATAGATGGGGTAGAAAACTTCCTGGTTTAGATAATGTAACAAACAAATAGTCTCTTATCTCAAAACAAACGAAATGGTCATAGAACTGATAGGGTCTGATCGTTTTTTTATTTAGTTTATTCTATCGACTTATAAGCCATATTGGTCAGAAGGAATCGATGTATCAGGACACGTCTTTCTGCTCACATTCTCGATCCTATTGATCGTCTCAAGTCTGAGCCCATCATTGATCCATCTATGGAAGACGACGACGAAGAAAGTCAACAACAACGACAACAAGGAGGAGGAGAAAGATCAGCAGGACGAGACCGTACCACGAAACTACAGACTGGCGATCTATGCCAACCTCGGATTGTTGTTTGTATGGTGGTGGATGCTGTTGATGACTAGCCTATACTTCCATGGTCCTCTTGAGAAATTCTCTGGCTTCGTCCTCGCTGGTCTCGCTTGGTTCTTCGTCGAAACTAGCGTTGCTCGTCTTCTTGGTTAATCTTCTTCTCCCGCCCCCCCTCCCCTTTTCCTTTAACTTGCGACTATCATCATTATCGTTGTCGTTAAAATCCGCTTTTAAACATGTTTGTAGTTTTATCTATATAGAATTTATATACTCTTATTCTTCTAATTATCATAGAAAGAAAAGATTGGTAGCCTTAGAAAGAAAACTTGAAGAATTTTTGATGTGGACTTATTTTTATTTACATAACTTGGACTTAGATTGGAGGAGTTGTTATAAAAGTTGGACTTGATTGAATCACTGGAACTAGAAATTCATACTTGACTAACCAGCTTACAAACCAAAAAAAAGTGGCATATCAAACAAAAAAACAGAAACATGAAAGATTGGTTGATAGATGTATGTAGGTGCTCCCTAGTTAAACTGGTGTGGATGCAAAATTTCAAAAACTTGTCTTCCTCATCAAATTTTCCATCCACCACAAATTGTATGGCATGACTTTGTAGATTAAGAGGTTGACCAGATGGACTACATCAAAGAAGGGAGACAACCTTCTGCTTCCTGTACTCAGCACAGGTCATATCATGACACAATTCCCACATTTAATCTGGCAGCATCAACATCTCTCATTCACTCAAAATCTCCCATCTGAAATATTCTACATCAGAACCTGTTCCCTCTAATCATTACTCCCCTTCCTCATCCATCCATCCATCCATATTCACCAGAAACCTCAAAGAAACCAATCAATCAATCAAAAAACCATCAATTCAAAAGATACACCTTCCATTTTTCACTACCCCTTCATCAATTATGAAATGTCCTATACTAACATTTGAACATTGGAAGATGCTCTGCAATTTGGACAGGGGATGTTGGACATGATCAATCTGGTTATCTGACTTGAATACAATCTTTGATTTAGGCTCAATTTTGGAACAGACCAAGTGTTTTGAAAAGATCATCAAAGCTGAACCCTACCTTATATATTATGATGATGGAGTTCAATGAGTCTTGTTGTCTGGACTAGGTGTCTATGTCTGTATATAGATAATCCAAAATGAGTTAACCACCAAACTGAATTTTTTATGGGCTTCACATATGCAACAGAGATAATGATATATTGCTTTGAATTTCTTGTTGAGTTTTTCAGCTCTCTGGTCTACTCTTCCCCAAAATCACTCCTTCCTTCACCTTTCACACTTGCTTTTCTCCTTCTTGAATCATCCCGAAGTAGACTGAATTATGGTTCCTCATAGCTAGTTTTATGTTGAATTTCATGTGTTTGAGTAGTCTAATTAGAACTTCCAATTGCAATCTTGTCAACAACTCTTGTCTTTATGATTGACCTCTTTCTTTTACTATCCTCATTATTTGATTCTTAAAAATCTGATTAGTGAGAATTAACACCTCTCAGTATTTGTGGTTTAACTTTTGTTTTTTCTTGATTAATTTTCTGACATGACTAAAAGAGACTGAGAAGGCATGCTACATTATTTCTTTCAAGAACTCATGAGTTTATTCCTCTCAGTTTTTCATTCAAAACACCTTCTTTATTCATTTTTAACCCTCCCACATGTTGTGCACTTGTATTTAGTCTATTTAATCCTGGCTAGATACATGTGAATAAAAAACATTGGTTCTTTCATTCCTTTTCCATGAGCCTTTCCCAAAAAAGACCCCCCTGCTTTTTTGTGCCATTTTTCTCAAAATTCTTCAAAGTCTTCCCTTCTCAAGTCCAAAAATTCAACATTTCTCATGACAGGCAAAAAGGGAAAAGCCATGTGACTATTGTCCATGGTCACTGGACTACTAGCAAGGCCAGATGGGCCAGACATGCAACATGTCCCGCACTGACCTGCATCAAAAATCTACTCAGCAGATAAGATCAAGGATTCAAGGCTCATACTTTATTTTGCACCCATCTCTCATCTTGTGGATCTCCCCCTTTCTCTAATCTCTTCTTTCTCCCATATCTGCTTGTATTAGATTGACACATATAAGCACACAGCAAATCTGTAAAATTCAGGTGCCAGGGAAGAACAGTGAGGAATGGATTCAACTACCCACCAAATACTGATTCTTGAAATTGCCAAGATAAACCATGGTGGCTCAATCAAGAAGATATAAATGCCGATAATCAGGTCATGTTTTTGTATTTCTCATCTTATTCTCCAGCTTTCAACCTCATCAAGCATATAGGAAAACTTCCCATCAATATCTGCAGGTCTTCCGCATTCAATTAGCAGCCTTGAAAGCTAGATTTCCCAGCAAAAATCCAGACTTTTTTGGGACTAAATTGGCATCTGCGAGGGTCCCAGATTTGACAGGAAGTCCTCCACTCTGTTTTGGGTCCTTCAAAATACACATGATAACAGGTGGTAACTAGAAAAGGTTTTTGATTCACAGAGACACCAAGATTTTTTGAAGAAGTTGGGGAAACAAATACCCACTAAGAATTTGGCCCTTTCCTGGCAATTATGGATATTAATTCAAACCCAGTTTGATGAGATAAAAGCTGGTTAAAAAAACAAAGAGACAAATTTATTGTGCAGAATAAAAATATCAATAATGGAAGACTTCCCATTGCCATTTAGAGTGCTTTCTAAGCCCTCCCCAGTCCTAAATTAACACCTCAATCATAATTCCTAACAGCTCACACAAGAGCTATGTTCACAAGGCTTGTGAAACAATAATTTTTTATACCAAAAATTAAAATCTAGGGGGTGTAAATCAGAGACGGGAAGTCATCCAATGCCCCTTCATTGAGATGATAGATCTGAACATATGGCAACGGTGGGCCAGCTACGCTAACAGTAGTGTTACCGTGGTGTAGTGTAGCAAAAAAACACTACAATTAAGTGTAGCATTAGCACTTTTCTCCTTTTCTGTGCTAATGCTACGCAAATGGGGCGCAAAACAGTGCTATTGTTTAGTGTAGCGTTAGCACAAGTCCCCCCCATCTGCGCTAACACTACGCGCATAGGGTGCAAAGAAGCACCCGCTACGCTGTGTTACAGCAGTTTTTAGCGGTTTTTAGGTGTTTTTTGTCGCTAAAAACACCGTAGTGTAGCGTGACATGGTGTAGCAGCGCCAGAGGCGCGCTAACACTACACCAAAAAATGGCTAGTTTTAGTGTAGCGCAGCGGCAGTAGCGGCGCACTAACACTACACAAAAAACAGCAGCTGTTGGTGCCGCTACGCTAACACTACATGGGCCCGTAGCAGCCCACCACTGCATATGGCCACTCACCAAAATACTCTCACTACAAAAAAATAAGGTAATTTGTATTTCCAATCAACCATCAAATGCTCCTTACAGTAAAACTTGAGACGATTGAGGCAATCATTCATTTATCAAACTCTTGTACTAAAACTGAACTCAAGACATCCATAGATGTATCACTTGAGCTTCTGGCCACACCTTTTATCAAAACAATAATTAATTTCTGCTTGTGTGATCTGGGGGCAGATTTTTTCTGCTTCCAGGAGGCCTGACATGTGGCCATGGTGTAGCAGTTGAGTGTGATTTTCTTGCAGTACTGGACTTGCATTGTGTTGAATTTTTGAGCTCAAGACAGGCGGATGATGAGGAGTTTGAGAAAAGTGGCACAAAAAAGCTGAGGGCCTTTTTGGGAATGGCTCACAGAAAATGAATGGAAGAACCAATCATTTTCATTCACAGGTAGATAGCCGGATTAAATGGACTAAATACATGTGATCAAATTGTGGTTGAGGCAAATTGAATAAAAAACTAAGAGATAGAATAATTTGATATCTTGGAAGAAACAATCTTTAGCCGGACTTCTCAGTCTCTTTTAGTCAGACAAGAAAAGTTAATCAAGAAAAATCAAAAATTCTAGCACAAATATTTAGAGTCGTGAATTCCAAATAATTGGTTATCAAATAGTGAAATAGAAAGAAAGGAATCAATCAGAAAGACAGGAGTTGTTGATAAAATTGCTGTTGATAGTTCTAATTAGACTCCAAGAAATGCATAAGATTCAACACAAAACCAGCAGTGAAAGACTGCAATTCAGTCTAAATCAAGAAGATTCATGAAAGAGAAAAGGGATAAAAAGTAAGGGAAAAGAGTGTTTTGGGAAGGAGTAGACCAGAGGAGTGAAAAACTCAACACATTGACCTCTTTGATTGCATCAGGTTCAATTTTAATTTCATTTGGATCAAAACTTGGAAGGTACCAACCAGGCTTGACTGGGGGCACTGGGATAGCTGTTTTCCAGGTTCTTGTACACTATGCACCATCAGAGGCAGAAAGAAAGATCAACATATGGACCTCATCAACAGTTAGCATACCAACTGGTGTTCATGCCCTATCTTGAAAAACACAAATGGCTGAGAGGATCAGCTAGGGCAATGGGCATCCATCATAGCCTCATGTAAGTGCTTCCAGAGGACCCTCACACCTTGTCCTCAAACCCAACCAGCCCAATTGATTCCAAGCAAATTGCAACATGATATGATTCTATAATTTTGCAAATTATGCGCACTCATGGTCAATCACGCTGAATTTACACATGTGATCCAAAGTGCATCCAATCAGTGAGTAATAGCGCCAAGATGTCAGTCGGGGTCTTCCATGGGTGAGAATCAGTGACTTTGGTTCAATGATTAATTTTGCTCGAGTGGTCCCCACTCCAGTGAATTTATCTGGGGTCCTTCCCCTCGGGATCGGATGGATGTTCCGACCCCATGGAAAGTTAGAAACATTTCTAATGGAATTCTTCCCAGTCACCCCACTAGTTGGGAGCAACAGGAGCAGGAACAAGCTATCACCGCCACTGGCACGAGTAAAGGGTCAGCTCCGACCGGTCAGAATTGGTCGGACAATTCTGTGCAACCCTTGCCCGGGTGTCCGATCAGTTCTTGGCGGCAGACCGGACAGAGGCATCTGTATGGACACTGCCCGGTCCGTTCCGCCCGATCAGATCATCAGTCCATGGGGGCAGCAGTGACCTTCGGCAAGAAAAACCTGGGGCTTCAGTTGGTTATGTAAAAATTACATTGATCTCCAACCCTCCCAGTCTTTCTTGCCGGCCACTGCGCACTAACCCACAACAAAGGTGAAAGATTACACAAAGCCAGGTATGAGCCGTGAAAATCACAACATTTCCTATTGCCATGTGGCACGCACCACCTCAATTTTATGTTCTAGGGGTTCAAGCTGGTCCGTACTGCTGGTTGGCAGGCTGTGTATACAAATATATAAACCTCTGCGATTCAAGCGAGAACTCATTCTTCAGGAAAAAGCCAAT